ACCCCCCCCACACACACAATAACACAGACTATGACACCCCTTGATGTTAAAATACCAACCAACTATGTGCAATATGTACAATATATATATATATATACAAGGGTGTAACTTTGGTTTGAGAAGTGGGGGGGACACAAAACAGGGGGTCACCGCAATGAAACGTTTTTTTCAATTTAATTCCATTTCCTGCCTTTCTACAAATATATTAGGGACTATGGTGTTAAAAAATATAATGAGGAGAAGATTTTTGTCTTTAAATTGAAGTTGAAAGCATCAATCTGGTGCACTTTGAGAGCAAAATTAAGAGATTTATGGATACAGCTTTCAACACTCATATGAAACAGAACTGTATATATTTCAATACTCCAAAAACCATTAGAATATGCTCACAACCAATAACACATAATTAATACTCCTCTGTCCTATCTTAAACTTACCTAGTCTGCATTCTTTCTTTTTATTTATGCATATTTTACTAATCACTCCCCTTTTAAACTGTGTTTTTTTGTTTTTTTACTGACATTGGAATGAGTTCTTAACTTATTTTGAACAACTATATTAAATAGATGGAAATATTCGTGGACCAATATTTATGGAGCAAACCGTTTGAGACCCACTGAGATAACTTAGACTAAAGTTTACAATCTAATCACTCAGCGAGTCCTTTACCTCCCTAAACTGACGTTATCTCGGCCTCTCAGTCCGACAGGAGAGGACTCTCCCTCTCCTTATTGTTGAAACAGCTTCTAATCTCTGTTAGCTCCGAGCTAGCACCAGATGCTAACAACAACAACCCCCGTAACTCCCTCTGTCCCTCTCTCTCTGTGTCTCTCTCTCTCTCTCTCTCGTGTCTGTGTGTGTGTGTGTGTGTGTGTGTGTGTGTGTGTGTGTGTGTGTGTGTGTGTGTGTGTGTGTGTGTGTGTGTGTGTGTGTGTGTGTGTGTGTGTGTGTGTGTGTGTGTGTGTATGTCTCTCTCTCTCTCTCAGTCTCTCTCTCTCTCAAAATGCGCTCGTGCCACACACACACAGACGCTCCTACAATGACCCCTTGCATAAAAAAATTATAATAAACACATTTGAAAAGTGGGGGGGGACACAAACGGGATTTTTAAAAGTGGGGGGGACATGTCCCCCCTGTCCCAAGTGGAAACTACGCCCATGTATATATATGCCGTTAATAACTGCGCAATATATACCTGGCTGCTAAATCCTCAGAACTGTTACAGGATGTGTATTTTGAACTTTTTTTATTATAAAACTTTTTTATGCACGCTTCTTAGGTAACATTAAGCTGTCTTTGGCTCTTTTTCTGCTGTAACAATGTAAATGTCCCCTTTGTGGGACTAATAAAGGTATTCTGATTCTGATTCTAATCCCCTCCGCCCTTTAGGAGATGTTTGATATCATCCTGGATGAGAACCAGCTGGAGGATGCGTGTGAACACCTGTCAGAGTACCTGGAGGCGTACTGGCGTGCCGCTCACACTTCACTGAGCACGCCTCTCAACCCCCTGCTGGGCCGCAATCTGGGCTCCACTGCGCTCTCTCCGTACCCTGCTGCCATCCAGGTAGAAAACTCTTTAGTATGCACTTTACTTCGGTTGTTCATTTAAAGCCTAAAATCCCTGGTCATTTATTACTGCGCTGAAAAAACTGAAACGTTGACTTTAATGAATTTGATTAAATGTACCATGTCAACAGATTTCACATAACTGTTGATACATGATATATGAAGTTTAAATAAAAATATAAGGTTCAACTAGGGCTGCTCAATTATGGCAAAAATCATAATCTCGATTATTTGGGTCAATAATTGATATCACGATTATTAAAAACGATTATCCATTTACTTTGAAAACATCAATTTATTGGAGAAAAAAAATCTGAACAGTTTGTTTTTAACAGTTGATTACCCAGAACGTTAAGTATAATTCAACTGAAAAACCAATAAATAATAATAAAAAAATAATCGTTTTATTTCGATTATGTTATTTTCGTAATCGTTGCAAGCCATAATCGTAATTGCGATTAAAATACCATTAATTGATCAGCCCTAGTTCAACTTAATCATCTTAATAATATGGCTTTCAACTAAGTCCAATAATGGGAATCTGTTGACATAATGAGTTTAATGAAAGTCAATTTTTCAGTTTTTTCAGTTTGTGTTTGTATGCTTACTTGTTCAATTAATGCCATTTAAATATCACTTTTATCAACCTTCTGGATTAGATTACATTATACTTTATTGATCCCAAATTTGGAAATTATTCGTCACAGCAGCGTGTTAACAAGGCATTGCACATGAGTAAGAAATAAGATAAAATTGAAAATATTATAGTAATATAGTAACAGTAGAAATATGTATCAAGTGACTTTATTGAGTACACAATATAAAGAAATACACATTATACATTTGCAAAATAAGTTAGAACACACTATAATGGACTCAAATACTTCTAACAAATTATACAATATAAAATAAATAATACAAATAAACATTTAAAATATACATGTATAGGTAGAAAATATATAATATACAGTATTATAAATATACATAATAAGCTAATACACATGGGTACATCTAACAAGATATCAAATATACATTAAACATACAAACATAGGCCACTGTGTACATTATACAATATAAAATAAAATGAAATAAAAAACATATTATAAAAACGTACTTAACATGTCATTAATTCTGTTATTTTGACTTAGTTAAATACGTTTAAATATTTTTTTCTCTTCTCTTTCTGCCAATGTCTTGAGACCCTATTTTGGGTTTTCTATGACTTGTTTTTTTGTTGTTGAAAATGTAATAAACTCCAACTCATTAAATATACATTTCTCCCTCAAACAGGCTCAAAGAAACCGCAACAGCAACCACACGACAGCAGACCTTTCTCCTGTGGAGCGCCGCAGCCTGATGGCCGCCGACGAGAACTACCACAACGAACGAGCGCGGAAAAATCAAAACCGCTTGTCCTCCGGATCGCAACACAGCCGAGACCACTCCCCTCTGGTGGAAGAGGAATATCAGGACCCCTACCAGGATGCTTACCATCCGCATCGTAACCGAGGATCCCCAGGAGGATACAGCCAGGACTCCAGGCAGCGGCACTGATCTGTAAATCTAAACAAAGTATAGGATGTGGACAATAAAGGCAGATTTGTGATGAAACTACTACATTCATTTGGACTGTACCAACCCTTTGTCGATGTGTAGTACCTTCATTTCTCCTGTTGGGCCTCGGCTCCTGCCAATTGAGCATTTGAACTTTAAAAAAGAGTAAGAGTCCTGCTCTTGCTTTGTGATGTGAACCAAGGGGAAGGGACTGGTTGAGAAAGTAGCACAAGGGCAAGTTTTTAAAATGAGCTAATCTGAATACGCCCCAGATGTGAAGTACGCTAGCAGGTGATAGTGTATCAGCTGTTACAGTAGCATGCAGAAAGGACAGGTCACTTCCTGACTCAAAACAGTGCCACAAAGGACCAAAAGGTGATGCTCAGCACATAACCTGTTTGCACGCGTCCAAAAGCAGGGTTAAGAAGAGTACAATGCATCTTTTAAAGTTTGTTTGTCCGCGATGTGAGTGTAATAAATCTGTTTTGAGTTTCACACATTTGCTTTTGAAGTGACATGAATGTTGTTGTGGTGACCTCTTCAGCAGGGACGTGCACAGGTACGGGCTATTGTTGCCCGGGCAACGGCCCGTTTCCCCTTTTTGACTGACCTTCCCCTTTGGAGAGAGCGAGAGTTTTTTTTTTCTTTCTGTTGTGTTCGAATCACCATGATAAGCCCACAATTAGTATTGTAGTGTCTCGCTGCGGGAAACACACCAGCTTCATTTTTCTTCTTCTTCTCCTTTTTCTTAAATGTAATTGCCCGCAAAGTAAACTCCCTCGACGGGGCCGCTCGCTCTCTTCTCTTGATCGCCCTCTCTCAGGAGAACACTTCACTGCCCGCTTCATTGTAGGATTTCTGCCATGTCTCTACTTTAATTTGACCATCTCTGTTACTAAATAAGTAATTAGATACCTTATACATTACTGCGCTCATAAAGAATAAATGCGTATTGAACTGGTTTCATTAATTAGTGAGTTTATTTAAGGTAATTATAGAAGCCCTATTTTATCAGTACAGTATGTCTGCAATGGTCAAACTACATTGAATTGTCCCCATTTTTTCTTTAGTAGTTTCTTACATTAGATATTTTAATGAGATATGGACCGCAAAACAAAAAATGTCCCTGGTTTTCATTTTAAAAATCAAGTCACCGAATGCAAGTACTTGCCTTAGCTTATTTTGTTATGAGATGATGATGTGAATTACTGTACAAATTAGTTAATGTAATAATTCGTTTTGTCTTTATTTTTTTTCGGGGGGGAGGCCCTTTTTTCCAGTTTAGAGCAATAGCCCCTCCAAATGTCTGTGCACGTCCCTGCTCTTCAGGGTTCATACGGTAGCTCC